ACTTCCTGTGAGGAACACCTTCAGGAAGAAGAAAGAGGAGGAGGAAGAGAAAACAGTTAATTAATCTTGAAAATGACAACCCAACGCCGGACTGCCACAATGGAGTCCACCCCTGCTGCTCAAAGCAGGGTCACTTAAAGCAGATCGCTCAGTGCTTCTTGTCGTGTCACCAGATACCATTGGGAAGAGTTTGCCTCCATCTTATTTACATCAGCTGTTTATATACTTTGATATGATCCCCACTGAGCCTTTCCTTCTTGGGGCTAAACAATCCCAGCTGCCTCAGCACCTCCTCGTATGTCGGATGCTCCAGCTCCTCAGCCATCTTAGTGGCCCTCAGTGGCAAGTTCATTCGGCTCACCACAGTATATCCACGTCATTCTTGCACTGGGAACCCAGATCTGGATGAATAATGACATCACAGTTCTCCTCAACGAAATGTATCCTTCAAGGCAGGCTTAATCTTATCCACATCCTGCTTTGCAACCAGTTTCGTGAAAGGGAGTTACCCAGGGAATGGATGATGATAGTGCAGCGATAAAAATAAAGAGCCATTGAAAAGTCCAACAGTGAAGTGAAAGAAAATAAGATGGTATGTTTAAGTGTAGCTTTGGTAGTGACTGTCTAAAGATGCAAGCTTACTGCAAATGTGCGTCTCTTTTTAAAGCTCCCTTTGAAAAGGCTGAAAGGAAACTGTTATGAGAAGTGTCACAGGAAGCAGAAGAAAGTAAGGTGTCTTTCAAAAACCTGAAGCTGTGCTCAAACAGAAAAGTAAAAAACTAATAAAACAGTATCAGAATAGCTTGATGAATAACTTTCCAAAGCTGAAAGAAACACCAAACATCAGAAGTGGGGCGGCTTGCGAGGAAGTCCATAATGTAAAAGCAGAGAAGGAACACTTAGGGCAATCGTGGCAATGCTGAGGGAATTACTTGAGGAACTTGAGGGGGGTCCTGTGTCAAACCTCTGCACACAGCATGATCTGTCTCAGGCTCAAGTGCTATGCATTATGTTGTTCAACAGAGAGGAAAAACGTGTTCAAAAATCAGTGAGTCTCTGGGATCAGATGGTGGTTACCAGTGAGTTTAAAGGAACTCAGTGACGGAACAACTACCTGTACCACACCAGAATGTTTTAATACCACAAGCCATGGAAATACATAACGTGACACCAAGGATCCCAAGGGAGATCACGGGGACTGCCTAGCAGTAAGTCTGAGGACTCTGCTGCCAAGCTGACTAACTCTGTAACAGAGAACAGAGTTAGTGGACGCATTGATAACTGTGGAGGAAACACTGCGTGCTCCTTTCTGTTCTGTCAGCACTAGGCAAATGAAACACCCGCTTATGATGGAGACTAAACAGCAGATGTAGCTAAAGTTGAGAATTTTAGTATAGGAAATGTAAGCTGCTCAGTCCAGTTGGAAAAGTAGAGGCTATACTCCAGTAGCTCCTGTGGAAGTCCGTCCAAACTAGGTATCTATGGCTATCTTTGAGCTGAAGCTTGCAAGCGATGTAGGTGCGAGGTTGCAGGGCAGTAAGGAGGAGAAGTGTCCCAGCTGGCCGCTGCTGGCTGGCCACCAGCCCGGCCATCAGCGCTACGTGGCGCTAAGCTGGAGCTCTGCCAGGCCTGGTGCTCTGAACGGAGCGGAGAGAAGAGCGTAGCTGTGACTCCCAAGTGTGTGCTCAAAGGCTCTTCCTTCAGGGGCCAGGTGGTAAGCTGGACCAGAGCGTGCAGATGAACCACAGCAATGAAACATCTACCTGGCTTTAGGCTGCTTGACACAGACTAACCTGGGGCTAGAGACTGCTAGAGGCAATTAATACCTAATAAAAACGCTCAGAGCGAACCCCTCAAAGTCCAAAACAACAGTAAGGTAGCCCATGAGCCTCTGCAGGCGTGCAAGACTAGGAGGACAAATCATAAAGGCAACCATCAAAGAGCTCTGTCTTAAGTTAATAAGGATTATGGAGCTGCGGATGACTTAAGAACGCTAGGGGCCAGAAACTGAGAGGGTAGTACTTACTATACCCAAAACAGCTTGAAAGAAGTTTCATGAGTACCATATGGCAAGGACTATAAGGACAGAGTACTGCCAACAGAAAGCTGGGAGGAAAAGCTATCCTGTTCTTTTAACCAAACACAAGCAGACAACGTAGGCCAGAATTCCCTGGTGTTAAAGCATTTGTCTTTTGGATCTATTTTGTCCCTTTTGATGCAG